AAAAACAAAATTATTAAACAAGCCGTATTAGTCATGTAGAAAGTATGGCCAAAATTATAGTAACAAAAGAATTTATATTTGATTAAACCTTCACCGCAAAATATATGTTTATAGTTAAAATTAAATTGATTCATCATGTAAAATTATAAATTCACAATGAGAAACAATCACAACTTTGTAAAAATGTACATAGCATGAACATATCTTAGCCTAAGAACCAGGCTATGTCAGAGGTTCGTTCCCATGAATAAGAGAGATTTGAAAAAAAAACCTTTAAAATAATATATAAACAAAAATATTTATTCATTGAATTAGATACCGTCGTTTGCAATAATAGCCAGCCTTTTCCCAGATTTTCAATTTGCTGACGATACCATTTTCGGAATATAGAGTCGAAAAAAGTCAGGACAGGCAATTTAGACGTCTTGGAATGTTTCAAAATGTCATTTTCTTATAAATGTATCCATGGACCGAAATAATGAATATTCAGATAGGGCAATATCCGAGCTATAAGCTGGGTGAAATAGAGCTTCAATATACTTCAAATTCTTTATTATATTCGTTGGTAACCTGGCTCGATGGGCTGGAGCGTTGTAATGTTGCAGGAGTACTCTATTTCGATTGATTAAAGCAGGGTATCGAGTTTTCAAAACTTCATATATTCGACTGAGTTGTTCTTAGTATAGATCGGCCTTAATTGCAAGACCACCAGGAACAAGTTCGTAGTGTACAATACCATCGATGGTCCACCATACAGACAACATCACCTCATGGCCAAAGCGATTCTGTTTTAAATATAGTTTTAGCCTCTTGATCATAGGGTACTCATTGTCTTCTTATGTCGGGGCACGAAGATAGATCCACTTTTAATCTCCAGCTATAATCCGCTTCCAAAACAGAAGATCTTGCATATTCTCTAACAATCGTTTATAGATATCGAATCGCTTCTGGGACTGGACTATAGTCAGGGCGTGGGAATCGTGTCTTGAACGTTTGCTAATGAAGTAGAGTTTGCGAAGAGTTCGGTTGATCTTATCTTTGGATGGTCCAAATCTAACTGATATTTCACACGTAGATTATTGTGGTTTTTCCATCACCAGAAATCGCAGGGTCTGAATATCCGTCACATGTTGTCGTCCAATTCTAGGTTTGTCCTCAAGGCTGATGTATCCTTCTCTAAATCCCTTGCACAATTTTGACGCTGTTCTTCTATTGGCTGTTCCTTTTCCTTCCACTTCGCATATTTATTTTTCCACCATATTTGAATTTAGCCCTCTTTACCAAAATAATCGCGATAGTACTCGGATCGTTATTTTTCGATCACACATTCTTTAGCTTTTTACCAGAATACTGAAATGTTATTCTAAATCCTATTATCTTATTTCAATCCCGTAGACACTCTCATCGACCGTAGGAACGAACCATTATATATTTAAACTCCGTTTATTGATATATTGATATATATTCAAACAATTTGATTTTATATTGGTTTTCCGATTTGAGAACGAAATTTTGTTACAGCCGTGTAATACCTTTTCGGCCTGATTCAATCCTAGTGTCCTCACTGGGATGCAAATATATTGGGAGGGCTTAGATCGTCAGTAATGAACAGTGATCAGTACTTTTCATCACGGTAAGGTCAGTAAAATAAATGTCTTGTTTTTTTATGAAATATCTCCCGCTTAAAATAAATTTTCGAGCAAAGATGTGGCGCTATGCCTGGATATATATGAATTACATTCAACATTTGTCAACATATTTTAGAATGTTTTAATACAAATTATATGATTTTTTTGTAACCGCTATGTATATCTATATAGTCGAGTAAATGAAGTTTAGAGTTTGAAGGTATAAAGTTTTATTAAAAGTACATTGATACAATTTACATATCGACTTATTAGAATAAATTAGCGATTCATTAAATATAGTAAATCCGTACCTGGATCTGAAATAAATAAAGGAGAAAATATTTAGATAATGTATCTTTCTTTCACAGTGTATTGATTAAAGTAAATGTTTGCCGCGAACTTCATGTCTCGTGGTAACTGGGAGCTTTACAAAGGGTAAAATAATATTTTGTACTATAATTATTTGTCTTTCCTAATGTAATGTTTTACCCTAGTTAAAAGAGGCTTTCCATTGAGCATGTAGTTTGAAGACATATATAATTTATCAATGAATAAACTTCGATGCACTAGCGCGCCATCTGTTATCAAATTACAAAACTATTTTAGACGCGTAATATTCTTTCTGAAATAAAACAATTTCTTTTGCCCTTACTGCAATGGAAAAATTAAAGAATATAGAAAGAAATACCTCGGAATATTTTGACTTTTGTCCATTTAAAAATTAGTTCCAGGTGCGCTTTCTATTTTCTTCTTATATCAGTTTTTTACAAAGAACTGAATATTCACATATATGAAATTAAAAAATTCAAATAGAATCAAGCTAAATTATTTTATTAAAATAAAACTAAATTTTCAAATGAAAGTTTCTGATAGCTTGCACCATTTATGAGCTATAAACGTTTAACTTCAAAATCTGTAAATACTCTTAATTTTGCTATCGTAAACTTGTACTTCCCACATTTATATATTTTATTTCAAATGTGAAATACATGTGAAATATTAATAATTTATCGCATAAAATATTGATTCTTTGTAAACAAAAATAAATTGAATTAATAATTGAAATTATTTATGATAAACCATAAAGATAAATTATAAAACATGCTGAGGTGAAATTTGGATATATATAATAATTATAGAAGATATAATAACATTGGTCTACAAAAAAAAAGTTTTATTTTTTGCCCAAGAATACCTGGTGGTGTTTCTAGTGTAACCTTTCATACTGGACTCAGAAATCTAATATGAAATTTTCCAACACCCATGGTTTTTGCGTGACAGCCTTTTTTTTTAGTATAGGGATAAATACAGTAAAAATGCAAACAATGTTACGTAAGCATTTTGCATAAACCTTATTACATTAAACTGGTTTATCAAAATATATTTTTGTTGTCCCAAAAGAGACAGCAACTTATCTGAAAGTAACTCTTTGTGTTGAATCCAAATATACCATTAGTTTTTTTCTATTTTCTCTAAGATTTCTGAAACACATCTACTTGAAATTTGGATTTTCTTTTAATATATAGGCTTATATGAACGATATTTATTCATTATATTGAAAAGTAGTGACAGTGGATTTTCTTCTATACTTTGCTTGTGGTACATCACTCTTGAGTGTCCAGCAGTAGTCAGCAAGCATACCGGGACTCCATTTACCTAGGTACCGCTTATCCATGCTCGAAAAATATTGATGAAACATCTCACCATGCTCATCGTTAACTGAACCAAGTTTGTCTCGAAAGAAATCTAGATGTGAATGCAGGAAATGAATCTTGAGAGACATGTTACATCCCAGTGCTTTGTAGGAAGGTAAGGGTTTTCAGCCTTCACATTATCCAAAAATTTCTTACAAACGTTCTGAATAGATTTCCATTCTGCTGCTTCAACTTCATTTAAGCTATCTTCAAAATTCCCATCCTGCAGCAATTCTCGAATCTGAGGTCGAACGAAAATTCTTTCTTTAATTTTCGCATCACTTATGCTAGGAAAATTTTGCTTCAAATAGGCAAATCCAGCAGTATTTGGATTCATTGCTTTGACAAAGTTTTTCATTAATCCCAATTTAATATGTAGTGGTGGTAAGTGTATATTTTTTCAGTTTTGACCAATGAAAAATATGCAATATTTTGAAGACCTGGAGTAAGGGTTTTAAGGGTTTGGTCAGCTTTTTTTATATAATGCCTTTCCTTGTCTCTACTATCCCACTCACACAGAAAACGAAAGATTTTGTTTATCCAAGCTATAAAGCAAGCAAGTGAGCAAAGACTTTCAAGTCACGACAAATTTTCCAGCTGTATCTATCGTACTCTAACTTTTCAAAAAAGGTTTCATGCTCTTGTAACTCTCTTTCATGTTGAATGTTTGTGCTATTGGCACCGAAGGGAACTTATCACCGTTGTAAAGGAGAACAGCTTTCAAACTAACTTTAGAGGAATTAACGAATAATCCTTTGCTGACTACTGCTGGATACTCAAGAGGGATGTACCACAAGCAAAGTATAGAAGAAAATCCACTGTTACTACTTTTCAATATAATAAATATATTTAATTCATATAGGCCTATATATTTAAAATATTTCTAAATTTCAAGGAGATGTGTCTCAAAAATCCTAGAAAATAGAAAACATTAACGGTATATTTGGAATCAGCCCGAAGATTTAACATCTAGATAAAATGCTGTTTCTTTTGGGAATTTTTTTTTTTTTGATGAACCAATATAAAGTAATAAAGTTTATGCAAAAGGCTTATAATATATATATTTTCCGCAACAAATTAATTTCGAAGTTATTTTTTCCTGGATATTTTGTAAATTTCTATTTAAATTTTACACCTTAGAGAACTATGTCCAGGAGGCAACGCTAAAATTACTACATATTACTCTTGTAAGCTTCTTTGCTTGAAGCTCAAAGTAATTTTCAGCTTCAATGCTACAAAAATAATTCACATCTCAAATATATTACACATTAGAGAAATATTTTTATAAACTTATTTCATTATCATATTATCTTTCAATATAAAGGAGACATATAGTTCATATATACGAATTTATTTGAATATCTGGGTGAGGATCAATCTCGCCTTTATCAATACTTGTTTTCCATTATTTCAACATTTTTTTTATTTTCATAGAAACGAGCGTGCGGCCTGCCGAAATATTGCGCCTTTTTTATTGAATAATATAATTGCAATATAATATAATACACTGCGGCCTGTGATTGTAAAACGACACATGAAGTTACACCGCATGAGTTTCTTTTCAACGAAATATCAATATATTTTTATTTCAAGGTATAATATCGACTATTTCTAACCTTTTTGGATGAGGTATGAAAGGGCGAATTATGAAGAGTAATGACGAAAGGAAAAATAAAAGTGTCCAGGGATGGGAATCGGACCCACAATGTTCCGCTTATCGGGCAGATGCCATGTCCACTAGGCTACCCTAGACGTATTTTTCCGTTCGTAAATGAAACATAAAGTAACTTATAATACAATATAATATACTGCGGCCTGTGATTGTAAAACGACACTTAAAGTTACACCGCATGAGTTTTTTTCAACGAAATATCAATTTTTTTTTCAAGGTAAAATTACGACTATTTCTCTAACCTTTTTAGATGAGGTATGAAATGGTGAATTATGAAGAGTAATGACGAAAGGAAAAATAAAAGTGTCCAGGGATGGGAATCGAACCCACAATGTTCCGCTTATCGGGCAGATTCCATGTCCACTAGGCTACCCTGGACGTATTTTTCCGTTCGTAAATGATACATAAAGTAACTTATAATACAATATATACACTGCGGCCTGTGATTGTAAAACGACACTTGAAGTTACACCGCATGAGTTTCTTTTCAACGAAATATCATTTTTTTTATTTCAAGGTAAAATATCGACTATTTCTAACCTTTTTAGATGAGGTATAAAAGGGTGAATTATGAAGAGTAATGACGAACGGAAAAATAAAAGTATCCAGGGATGGGAATCGAACCCACAATGTTCCGCTTATCGGGCAGATTCCATGTCCACTAGGCTACCCTTGACGTATGTTTCCGTTCGTAAATGATACATAAAGTAACTTATAATGCAATATAATACACTGCGGCCTGTGATCGTAAAACGACACTTGAAGTTACACCGCATGAGTTTCTTTTCAACGAAATATCAATTTTTTTATTTCAAGGTAAAATATCGACAATTTCTAACCTTTTTGGATGAGGTATGAAAGGGTGAATTATGAAAAGCAATAACAAACGGAAAAATAAAAAATAGCCTAGTGGACATGGCATCTACCCGGTAAGCGGAACATTGTGGGTTCGATTCTCATTCGTTTTATAATTGCAATATATATGTGGAATAACGGAGATCCCATTTCGGGACGACGGACATGGGGACAAACAAAAGATCCCCCTCCCTTCTGCTAGCGGCGCCACCCGGCGATAAGAGATTAACGCCCAGTTTGGTCTGCGGACCATTTTGGTCTTTTCCTCTGTCCTCTAATATGTTTAAATAAAATTTATTTAAAGGAGATTTTTTACCCACTCTCTTCGGCTATTTAGTGATCCGACTAAAATCTTTGCCACAGCTTACAAACGAATCATCAATGCGAAAATTTTATACCAAACGTTGTTTTGTGAAACGTTTACCAGAATCTTCTTCCCAATATACTTTGATAACTCTCAACGAAATCGTTGAATATATTTATACGAAATTGATTTAATTTTTAACAACGTTATCATTTGGTAAAAAGCATAGGTAAACGCATAAATATATAAAATTAAACAAATATTTTGACGAAAAATATTCTTTTTTTATAGATAAAAAGTACTTCAAACACAAACTTACTTCAACGAGATATAATAATAGTTGATGCTAGCATTTCCCAATTTATTGAAAAATAATTGATTTAAATATCTCCATGTATACATGGAACAGAAACAACAACGCCATTTTGATCTGTACCGAATAGGCGGATTGAGATTTGATGTATGTATTTGGATTACCGCCGTCTTGGCTTTAATTGGCTTGCATTCCAATGGAGTGTAATTGATAAGCTTTCCAACACCAGCTCTGGGACCTCTGAAATGTAGGGTGAAGGGCATAGACACATATTTCTCATAGATAATTATTGTAGAATATGATAGTCCAAGTATACAAGTATAGACACATATGTAGGCATTGGAATAAATTTATTATATATTTCCCCCTCTCTAAGTGTATTTTTTTGCATTACAATATTCTTGTATAATATAGCAAAACGTGCTTTTAAACAATATATTTTAATTCAAAAATAAAATTGGCATACCTTGACCAGGAGCACATGTGCTTTACAGAAGGCAGAGCGCCATCTGGTGGAACAGAAATCAACTAAACATTGATTTAGCCTGTTCCCTGATATTTAGCCAACCCAATTACTTGATAAATCAAAAAAGCCATCCACGAACGCGTTTCGCGCTTTTGGCGCTCCTAAGCGTGGAGTGGGCTGTACCACTGCGACCAAAAAGATTTTTGGTCCCAGAGGCTTCTTTAACAACCAAGAAATGGGAATTTGAGGCCAAACTTGCGTAAATACGCTTAACAGATTAAAAATGAAAGAAAAAATAAAAGTTAGAGTAAGAGCCCATGTGCTCCTGGTCAGGATATGCCATTTTTATGTTAAATATAAACACCTGACTTTTTCATATTTCAATTCAATTTCTAAAAACATATTAAAATTATAATTAATCATTCATATTTATTCTTTCTCAAGAGAGATTTGAGTTAGAATATAAAGTTCCAATTAAAACTATATAACGAATTATATGTTTTTTTGTTGAAAAGGCACTTTGAAAAGGGTATTTTATTTATTATCATTTACAAAGCACGCGATATACGTGTTGGATATTTGCATGCATACACAAGTTTGGGAGCTTTTACAGTAATTATTAATATGATTTTAGTTATTATAATAGAAATTATTAACGTATTTGTCAGTTAGTTAACGATTTAATTACCCTATAATGAATATTAGTGAACATCACAGTTTAGAACAGAAATTTGGAACTATTTACAGCATATAACTATTTACCATTTATTACAGCCCAGGCTATTTATTACTAAAAAACATTCTACAAAATCTATTAAAATTTATATACATATATCTATTATTGACTATTTGATTTAGACAATTTATATTTATTTGATTTTTGACTCTCAAGTCCTCTAGAAGTCGACAGTCCGTTAGAATATGTACAGGATTTTCTTCTTCTGCACCACATGAGCATTTAGGCGAATCCGTCTTTCTGACCTTGTACAAATATGATCTAAAGTTACCGTGTCCAGTAAAAAATTGAACGTTGTAAAAATTTGGCTTGACATATTTGGGTATTTGGGAATCAGTAAAGAAGGACTTGAAAATGGTGTTAGTCTTCTCATAGTATTTCTGCAATTTTTCCCTTATATAATTAGAAATTATATTCCTACTTGAAGAGTCAAATCGATTGTAATTTATTATGGTTTTCAGCATGTTAGATTCAATATATTCAGTAAGTTTAGGGACTTGTGTAAGTATGTGTGTACAATCTGATGATGTTGTACTGTAGGCTTGTATACAATGTTTTAAAATATTATATTGAAGATAATTTAGTTTATCCTTAGACTTTTTGTTTATGAATGGATACCATATTGGATAACCGTATGTAATTGTACTTCGATATAATGTCTTATACAGTATCAGTCTTCGTCTAAAGTCTAGACCCCATGCTTTCTTTGTCAGGCCAAATAGGTATCCACTAGCTCTAGCTACTTTTATGATCGTTTCATTAACGTGAGGCGTAAAGTCCAGTTTGCTTCTGACTCGGTGATTTTTTAATAGTCACGCCTAGGATCTTGAGTTCTTCAACCGGTTTAATTAACTTGCTACCTGAGACTATTATATCGCTATTGCATTTATATAAATATAATATTTTTGTTTTTTCATCTGACAATTTTAATTTACGACTTTCACACCACTCATTGATTTTTCTTAATGCGTTATCTATTGTCTTTCTTAGTTGTTCAGGAGTTTTATTCCAACATATTAACGTAATATCATCTGCATATCCTATTATTTCACAGTTATCATCCAGATTATTATTCAGTATCTCATTAATAAGAATATTCCATAATGTGGAAGACAGTGGTCCTCCCTGTGGACATCCTTTACTTAGTTTCTTATTAATTTCAGTTGAGGAATATCTAAATCTTATTCTTCTATTATCAAAGTATGATTGTAGAAGTTTTATCATTGAAGCCTGCACACCATCTTCATCTAGTATTTTCATCAAGGCCGGCCACCATGCATTATCAAACGCTGCACTAATATCCACTGCAATTATTGCTGCATATTCTCTTGTTTTATGTTCTAACGCAATTTTTATTATTTCAGTTAGTGCAGTAATAGTAGATTTCGATCTTCTAAAGCCATGTTGTCGATCACCTAGTAAATTAAAATCTTCATAATATTTTATTATTCTATTATTAATTATTTTTTCAAATATTTTAGAAATGTTGGAATTAAGACATAAAGGTCTATAATTTTTGTAGTTATTAAAATCTGTTTTTCCAAGTTTCGGAATAATTATTGCCTCTGCTCTTTTCCATTCAGCAGGATAGTATTGTAGGTCTAAACATTTTTGAAATAGTTTCACCAATATAGGAGCTATAAATTGTTCAGTGTGCCTTATCATGTTGATAGAGATGTTATCTATTCCGGGAGATTTCTTTGGAATTAATTTGTCAATTAAGTCGTTAACTTCAGTAATCATAATCATCGGTTTTTCTTCATTGAGTAGTTTTAAATTATAATTTCTTATACTTTTATGGGTGTTTGTATCTTCTTCACATTTATCATCTGGAAATAAGTTGTTTAATAATTCCTCACCCTTCTGCAAACATTCCATGTCAGTATTACCCTCCAAAATTTGCATATTTCTCTTCCGATTAGATCCATTTTTGATGTTTTTATACACCTTATATAAGTTTCCATAAGGGTTGTTCGATTTGTTTTCCTCCAGAAAAATTATCTAGGATGCTTTCCAAGGGTATTCAAATCTATTAGATATATGAGTTGAAAACTGAATAATTATATCTCATTTACGCAATTAGAGGCATTTCTAGATACGTGTATAAATAGCAGTGCTTTAACCTTATTCTTCCAGTAATTACTTCTCTACATACTTCAATATACTTACAGGCGTCGTGGTCCGAGATAGCAGTGCTTCCACCTTAATCTTCCAGTAATTATTCTCTACATACTTCTAAATACTTACAGGCGTCGTGATCCAATATAGCAGTGCTTCTACCTTATTCTTCCAGGAATTATTCTATACATATTTCTATATATTTACAGGCATCGTGATCCAATATAGCAGTGCTACCACCTTAATCTTACAGTAATTACTTCTCTACATACTTTTATATACTTACAGGCATCGTGGTTCAATATAGCAGTGCTTCCACCTTATTCTTCCAGTAATTACTTCTCTACAAATCAGTCTTGAAAAACTTACATTCTGCATTTTCACAATAAAGACTAGTCCTTAATATAGTTTAAAAACAAAATAATTATACCAGTACAAGAAATTAAAATATTAGGAGTCACTTTTGCAAATCATTTTAGAAATAAAAAACTTAATTTCAATCCTCAAATAGGTATTATACTCAATAAAGCAAAAATATTTAAAAATCTGCTATTGTCAATTTGCGGAAAAGTTTGAGATATGAATACCCAAAAGAGACTTACATTATACAAAACAATATTTAGTCCAATGATTTCTTATGGATCGGAGTTATGGTATGAATTTGTTAATAAGGAAAATCTAAATAAATCAAATTCATTTCAATACCAAATGCTATTAAGGTGCACGCAATCATATAAAACGACGAGTTCTAATTGTATACTCGTACATAGCATAGCCAAGATGCCTTTGTTTAACAATTTCATTGAATCCAAATAAATTAAATATGAATAAATAATTTGAATATAGAAAAATAAAAATAAATTTATATATCCCAAGCATAATAACGGATTTTATTGAATTTAAAATGGCTACTTTGAAAAACAACACAAATAAAACTTTTCAAAGCTTCTTCCCTAATAGCACGCCAAAATATTTCCGACCACACTTTCATGATTCTTAATTCATTTCTAATCATGGAAATTTCAGAAGCTTTTTAAAAATAATTAAAGCGGTGGAAGACTCGAGTTGTTTTTGTGGACATGAGAACAAACCCCAATAAATATTTTACTAGATTGTCCTGTTTTTCAAGACTACAGAATCGAAAATGATTCAATAGTAACAGATCCGATAATTTTTAT